AAAAGAAGTCCCTAATAGGAGGTGAGAAGAGTGTTTTATTCTTCAGAATATAGGACACGATGGCAGACTATCCCAGAGAGAGATGGGTCTGACCCCTTTTCTTCCAAACGTTTTGATGTTTTGGCCGAAGGGCGACAGAACGACGCCTCTGTGCCCACGTGCTGACTAGGGTAGGTGTCTGGTGGCTGCACAACTGAGCTCGTGTCTCAGAGGAGTGCACAAAAAAAGGGCTATTTTGGACTTGGGCATCTTGGATTCTAAACTTTGCCAGAAGTCGTGTCTCGAATTCCAAAAACCTTCCAGATGAAAACAGCACTGAGAAGTACTTTTGTGTACAAAGCCCTGCTTCTGAAGAATCAGCATCTTTCAACGGGAAAAAAAAAGCATTTCTTCAAATTTCTCAGTGAGTTCATATCCTCAGGTACCCCAGGGAGCTGCTGCGTGCAGCTTTTGGCTGGCTTGTTTAATTCTGATGGGTTATATGAAAGATGAGTAGTGCTTGATATTCACTGATTATTAAACTAAGCCTGGGAGTTATGACTTGCTGAGGTAATGGAAAAGAGATAAAACAATCTTCTTACTCTAACGATAACCTGTGAAACCACAAATGTGAAGTTTCCAAAACCATGACAAGTCAGGCCCAGCGGCCTTGGTTGCAAGCCAGGCTCTGCACAGGGCTTCAGGGCTACAGCAGCACTGCATTTTTAGGCTTGGTTATGTGTAACTTTGTTCCTCAATCCTACTCTTACACTCCAGTAGGAAGACAACCTACTTTCTGCAAAGACTCAACCTAAAAGCAGTTTCCCAAATCTTTTGAATGTGGAAACAGATGGGCTTCTTACATACTCCAACCTACCAGCCTGACATGAGTGAGAAAGAGAAGGGGAAGTAACTCTTAGACACCTAAAATTATGCACGTAATAAGGATTAATTTCATTGCAATATAATTGGTTTTCATTTTTTCCATAACATCTGAGACATCGCGTCCTAACAGATGGCTGTGGAAACAGCAAGCACTCAGCATCAATTCCCATTTGTACAGCCATATGCAACCATATTATCCACCCTGGAAAAATAATGGACTATGGCCCACTTGTTGGTGCAATTTGCAACATGGTCATGACATTAGAGTTAAGCCCCAGAATAATGATCTTACTGGATGAATCAAACCACCACAACCTTTTGATTCTTACAATCCCTGTACGTGCTGTCTAATGGCTTTGATATACATCTATGCGTAGGTGAATACCATAAAATATATCTACGTCTATTTCACTGTGTTGAATTTGGTTACGAATACCACAAACCACTGGTCACAAAGCCTGGATATTAGACTGCAATGTCTTGAATTGCCTTCAATGCCAAGATTTTTATGTCTCAGAGCTCTGGCTTGCCATTTCTGTTTTACTTCAGTAACTTCATGGACAAATGAGGTGAAATACATGCATGTTTTAAGATACCATGAATATGTGTGACTTCATGGACAAATGAGGTGAAATACATGCATGTTTTAAGATAATATAAATATGTGTGAAGAATTTCCAACCCTCAAAAGAAGGCACCTGTTTGAAAGAAATTCTCCATTTCCCAATCAAATTGCTTAAGTATTCTGTTTCTGATCCATTTTTCTTCCTAAAAGTTAAACATTTGTGACCATTTCTTTAAAGATGTTATAACTGTGGCCAATAACTACTCTGGCAAAATTATTATAATTCACATGCAGAATAGCTTGCCAATAATATTGCTTGTACAATAGGATATAAGACTTCCTTTTTTAGGTTGTAGTTGAACTGTGTAATATTTTACAGTCCAAAGGAATAAAAAATGATCTTAAAGGCTCCAGGCAAAGAACCAAAAATACAACAGCCTGTGCAGAGAGGAGGAATGCCAGAGGATCACAGCTATTTCTCATGCTTTATATGTATGATACTAGCCTACATAATATATGTATTATAATAGGTGCCTTGCAATATGAGATATGGCTGTCCCATGATGTTCTTAAAATTCTGTCAGCACTGTTTAGAAATATCACAGAAATATCAGTTTTTCATAAAATTAAACTGTGTGACCTTCCTGACATGCTCTTCTCTACAGAATCCAAGGTTTCACTTAACTAATAAATATGTAATAATTTAGTAGGAATTTATTATGAAAAATATTGACTAAATAAAGCGTAAGTTCTAAAAATGAGGCTGTAAGTACAAACTACATCAACCTGCCAAAAGCATTCTCAAGACTGTTTATCATCTGTGATGTTGTTTAAATGGTTTGGATCCTCTGTAGTTCACTTGGAATTCTTCTCCTCTCCCAAGGGGAGATTCAGAATAGAAGTCTACTGTGTTCAGAATAGAAGTCTACTGTGTTTTGAGGCATGGGTTAGACTCCAACTCTAAGCTATCCCACTGAAAACGCTACTAGCCAGTTCAAAGTCAGAGCTGCTTTCCTCCCTAACCTAGCTGTGATGCATTCTCCCCTAATAAATTGATATCTGATGAAATAACATGGAACACCACAGCACTTTTATAGCACAAAAAATGACTCAATCCAGTTCTTCATGGTATGCTACGATGTCTCTAAAAATCAGAAATTGACTTTCTATTGGATGAAAATCATAGAATTATTAAGGCTGGAAGGGACCTCTAAATACCCTATTATTTGTCTTATTCATTTCTGCTGCTGAAAAGAACAAAAACGAAAAATGACGAATTAATATCGAAAACTAAGTGTCTAACATAAAGAAATCAAATTGCAATTAAAAAGAGCCTTCTTAAAGAACAGATACTAAAACTAAACTAAGGTAAATATCAGTATTGGTCTCCTATGATAAAACAAATATTAGAGCAACCAAAGCATGTGGATAAGTATAACTTTTTTTAAAACCATACAGTTACTATACATCTTCTACAGTTACCATACATCTTCTACAGAAGCCATCTTCTTGCTTCTAAATTTCACCTGCAGTACTAGATTCTAAAGATAATAAAAGCTCATTACCCTGTGAGGGATAGAAGGCAAGACTGCTTGTTTTAGTATCAAGTAACTGCAGATGAAAAATAATAATTGAAAATTAACTAACAATCGCATTTAAATACTATGAGCACTTAAAATAGAAAAAAAAAAGACACCATGGACAACTGGACAATGTTGGGCTGATCATTAACTAACATGAATTAGCCTGATCCTGTAGCTACTAAAACTTTTTTTTTTTTTTTTTTTTTTCTTTGCACTTTGTGGCTGTTAAGATACTTCTGTGTATTATGTTCAAAACAGATTTTTATAAATTTTCGTTTTGGTTGAAGGTCCGGGTAGAGCCATGGTGTTTCCCATACCTGAGCTGCTCGCAGTGCTTGGGGACGTGCCGTGACGCTCGCGCCGTGTACGTGTACGTGGTGTTTCGCAGGGAGGTAGGAAAGGACTCTGACCCTCTTCTGAGCTGGCCAGCTGCCATCCAGCTCGAAACCAAACGCTCCCTCATGGTGCTTCGCTACACGTTTTACTCAAGTTTTGCAGTTCGGCTGAGCTGCAGGGTGAGGTACCCCGAGCTCAGCACATCCCAGCACAGCTGTGTGGGTTCTGGGTGACCTGCATCCCGCTGCGCCCGTGCACGGCTACAGCGAGGTCCCGTTTGCTTGAAAACGCAGCCACAGCAGTTAATGGGTCACCTATCCACACTGGAAGGTGGTTGCACGCTGGACCTTTGGGATGGCAACATTTTGTTTGCTTTCCATGGCTTTTCCTACTTCCTTCCTCTGCTCTCCGTCTCCCTGCAGCAGAGCAGCAGGGAATGGAGCAATTTGATGCATGAGCAACACTGCTATCCCCCTCAGTTAAGTTTCTGTCAAAATCTAATTGGTATCTCATATAAATGACTGAGATTGCTTTTAATTGAGGATGCTGTGACTGCAACGATTTAATGTCAGTAATCAGACGTTATGTACTGTACTTTGCATCAGCTATTTAAACAATTAAGGCCATTATCAGCCATTCCCCATTCATCCTTCAGAAACATTAAATTTGAAAGCTGTTATGTCACATAATTTGTGCATGCATACTCAGATATAAACATATTATGACTGGGGAGTTGGTCTAAAATGTGAACTAACTGGTTGAACTATTTTGGAGACAATTTTGAGAATGAAGGTAGTAAGGATGAGGGTCTCACGGAGGGAGCTAACTGGTGCTCCTCTCCGAAGCTAAAGGAATCCTGGACACGACAGCGGTAACTGCATCAGAAAATTCCTCTAAACCAGGCCCAGTCTTTGCTGACCTCTGAACAACCGTATTGACTGAGTCAGAGTAGGCAAGGTCACATTTTCCTCTCCCATCGTAGCTGACCTGGAGGCTGCGGCTTCCCGTCCTCGTCAGTCATGGTGGGCACTGCTCTAAACGGAGGCCTCATCTGCTTGTTTTCACAGCTGCAATGTAAATGCTACTAAACAAACCTGTTTCCTGGCGGTGATTCAGGAGGAATGAAATTCCATTTCAAAAATGGTTTTATTTGGGATAACTGGTTTTCATTTTTCTTGCTGAAAACTAGTTTTGTCTTCTTTTTCCCTACTGGCAGATTCCAGTGGGACACGGAGTAGAGAAGGAGCTCCTCAACAAAAGCAGACTCTTCTCTCCCCATGCATATTTACAAGACGAATTTCTGTTATTTTCAACTGCAGCTACATATAGAAGTGCATTTTGCAAGACTGCAGAAAACCACTGCATTCAGCCTTCCCTAAAGAAGCTGCCATGACCTGGTGCGTGTAAAAGAGCCTAACCTGGGAAATAAGACTGCAGGGGAAAGACGCAGGGCTCATGATAAGTGGAAAACATCCTGGCTGTAGTTTTACCAGAAACCTTGCACCATGCATCCCCCTGCCCTTGCTTCCAGGGCCACACAGGACACCTCTACCATGTCTCTGCATCACCTACAAGTGTCAGTACTGCAGATGTGCTCAGAAGACAAAACTCTGCATTTTTTCTGGCAGAAATAATCAACTATGTTCAGGGCATCTGTTTTTATAACTATCATACTTGAGGCTGAATGAAAGACAGGGGCAAATAGATTTACACATAAACAATTCAGAAGTCAGACTTAAAAACATCGCCTGATATAAGTAAAAAAAATAAACTGAGCTCCTTCCTTCACTGGGCTGATAAATAATTTCCCATTACTGTTATTCTCATTATTGACATACTATTGCCACTTCTTACTTGCAAGGTAAGGTTAGCCTAGAAATTATGTCTCAAAATTCACCTCAGAAATGAATTAACGGAAAACATGGGTTTGTTAATAATCATTGTACGAAGATTTTTTGTACTGACTAGTGCACGGCATCCCAAATCAATTTGCACGGTCATTCTTAACCCAGAAATTATTTACATTACTTGCTAATTACATTGCTATTTCACACCACTAGGGAGAACAAGAGCAATTGCCAATAGTCCACCCAAGCTGGGAGGACATTCCCCATACGCGTTCCCTTTAGGTTAATGCTCTAAGGAGCTGCTGCAGCCTGAAGCCACGAGGAACGCGCGCGTGCATGTGGCCACCAACGTCCCCTTGCTGGGTTCCCCAAGGGTGCCAAACCTGCACTGACCGTGCCGGGTTGCTCTGGAGCATGTTGACATACAACCCGATGAGAACATGTTCATCGGCCAGCCTGTCTGCAACATCGAGGCTGTACTGTAACCTGGAACGGGGGACAGGGGGTGCAGGCCGGACACACACAGGAGAAATAAACAGAGAAAGCAGGAGCAAGTGAGACTGTGAAACGGGATCTTAGGAGAGAATAATTAAGTGTTTGTAGAAAGAAATACCAAGTGCAAGAAATTATTTTGTTACTACTGTGATTTATATATTAAATATCTTAATGGCTTAGGATGGTAGAATCCAACTCAATTACAGAGCCAGCCACTGATATCAGTGAGATGCAAGAATAGGCCAGGGACTGGAGCTGTATAAAATTGCTTACATTTTTTAAAAAAAACAGATGGTGAGGTCAGTTATTTTTGCTTTAATATGTTATTTATATATTATGTATATACGCTAAAAATACATCCCTTACACAGATGATTAACTTACTGAAAGCATAAGTTAGATTTGCTCAGAAGTGTCTGATGAAGACCTCACACATCCAGGTGTACATAAATACACTTAAACATGCCTTACTTAGCTCAGCTGGTTAATTGGTTATTCTGATTTTCCTGGGAAAGATGCCTACAGGATGTATTAAAAGCAGGGGAAAAGAGGAAAAGGTTTTGTTTAGCTGTGTTAGTGCAAGCTGGGTGCATACTCTCTCTTTAACTTACCCTTTGCCTTTCAAGAAAGCTGGAGCAGCCCTAGCCAGCAGTTTGCTCTGCTCTACTTCAGTATTCTTGTAAGGAGAGCTAGTTAATAAGACAGGTAAACTTAGAAGAGAGTACACAGAGAGGCTGGAAATATATTACATAACAGAGGTTGCAGAAACTCATTCAAAAGCCTGGCACCAAGTAAAAATAAAATGAAAAAAACTTTACAAAAATTTTAGAAAACTTCAGAAAATGCAAAGTCGTGAATTTGGGTTTTCCCTCCTTATTCTCCAGAAGAAAATGAAAATGCCTTCCCTATAAAAAAGGCAAAACAAACTGCGTGTCTCCTCCTAAGGGAAAGGCTTATGTAGTTTCCAGGTGGAGTCTGAGGTAACTGACACCTGAAATGCAGCTTTCAAATGCAGCTTTCTTCTTAACAGCTGAGCTGCTTTTCTCTGTATTTGCCACAGGATCATTTCTATAATCTATGGAAATGTGCTTATTTATATCCAATGATAGATAATTATCCAATTTAATTTTGAGAAAGCACTGTATTTTGGTAAATTAAAAAAAAAAAAAAACCTCACATTTCTCATCATCTTCCATTTGTCAGATTTTTTTTGTGATTCCATAATGTCACTTGTTTTTGTAATTACAGTATTTAATGGACTGCAGTAACTGTGTATTTACCACTGTTACTCATTTTAATCATTTTTAAGATAACTGGCTAAAAACAGAGAGGTTAAATTGTTAGTTTTCCTTTCACAATACAGCATCTTTGGTTTGGTCTTCTTTTTAAAATCTATTCCTCTTTTAAAAAAATGATTCACTTTTGTACTTTTATACCCCCGACACTGCAAATAGCTTTGATTTGATGACCAGTGTGTGAGGATGCATGTGCCTGAGCACCCAGATGTGTGTTCACACGTGTCTCTGTGTGGGGGTATGGGCAGATGCTACACAGAGCTGTTTTCTCCAGAAATATGAAGGATGCCAGCCCATTTCTATGTCCATCGTGAGGCTATTTGTGTCATACTTCTCCAGAAGCAATATGCACGCAGATAACCATGCTCTGTGTCAGGTACATTTTTCACTGTGTTTCCATCCAGTTAAAGAAAGGGGCACAGTACACCATATTAGACAAAACTGCAGTGTTCAGTTCTTAAGTTAGGGCAAAATTGCTATGAAAAGGGGAGACTCAGTGCAGATTTTGTGCTTAGCTTTCAAAAACTGCAGTGTGATGGTGCCCTGTGACCCAGAAAAAAATCAGTAGGATGGGAGGACTTTGCCTCTTGGACAGTTGTTATTGTGTCTTGCCTCCTTTCCCTTCTTAACTGAACTTAAATCTCTCCGCCTTTTCTAAGCACTAATGTTTTGTGAAGTTTTGTGATGTTTGGGTCTCTGGCCTCTCTCCGGCTGCCGCAGGACTGAGCCCCAGGCTGGATGGGGCAGATGCCTCCTCACTGCAACGTGGGCCATGACTTGTCAGCTCATCCCAAACCAGACTCAATCTAACAATTTTATCACCAACTGGAATTAATCCCTGATTCACTGCGACTGCAAGGTACTCTTTTACGGTATTTCTAGTAAGATATATACCCTCAGACTGACAGTGAACTACCAAAAATTTAATTACTGATTTTCAAACACTTGTTCATTGACCTCATGCTAATTTATCCTAGTCCATATTCCCTTCTGAAACTGTAATCTGAGACTATGTCAAAAGTCTTTTTAAGGTCATGATATGTAACATCTGCCCTTTCTTTTTTACCCAGTGGACCAGTTATTCTGTCAATGACAAGAAATAGGTTGGTGTGACATAATTTATTCTTGACAAATCCACCTTGGCTATTTCTCCTTGTCTTATTATCCTTCAGGTGCTTACTGATTGTTTCATCATTTCAGTATCTTTGGATACCAAGGTTAGGCTGCCAGTTGCATAATCTCTGAGATCTTTGTCCCTGTTTCTGCCTTTAACCTTCCTTCCTACCTCCTATATCCACCATAAATTTCCCAAATTACAGTTAATGATTCAGAGATTGCTTTGGATAATATCTTAAGTTTTCAGACCACAGTGAAATTGTCTGAGCTCCACTAACTACAACACGTCTTTTTAAGATACACTCCTGTTAAAATGAGCTGCCAAAGGATGATTTCCCATTCACAACAGGAGACAAACCCACCAGTCCTGAGCAGAGGTCTACAAAGATGCAGATCTAACAGCACCAATGTAAACGCTGTTCCCTCTTTAGAGTCCACTTAGCTATGGAAATCAGATGTATAAACCTTTCCATTAGCAAGCAAAATACTTGCCAGTAAAGTAAGGAGGATTCTCATCTTGTTCTGGAAATGACATACAAAGACAACACGCAAGTCTACTATATTCCTAAAAGATAGAAACATGGTCAACAGCAGTCATGTTTTACTCTAAACCTAGCTGTTGTTCAACAACTTGTCCTAATCTCTCTCTCGGTGCCCTATGCCCATATAGAACATGGATTTCGTTTTAGATTTTACCTGGCCATCAAAAACAGCACCACACTCTGATACAGCATTAATTAGGACTCAGTTTCTCACTGTAATGCATTTTGCTTAGTTACCACAGAGTTATAAGTAATTTCAAGTTTGTTAGAATATGCTGTATCACTCTGCTCATATCAGTTTATTCCTTGTTAAAAAGAACTAAATTTATTATCTGTGAAGGTTGCTTGAAAAATGCAGGTAAAAAATGTTGTTTTATTTTATCCCACCATGAATCCTATGATCAGACCGTTTAAAGGAGACTTATGAAGAGAGAGAAAGAGGCTGTAGACTAAAGGGAGCTTCACAGATTGTACCTGGAGAACAAAAGGACCCAAATAAGGAAAAAAAAATGTTAATAATTCAGCTGGGGGTAGTTTTCCTTTTTGACTGGACAACAGTT